ATTAGGACTATTTGTATGTTATTTTTGAAATAATTGTGATAAAAACAAACTTAAATTTAGCGCGCTCTTTTTAGCCATAAACAAAAAGTTATTGATTGGGAGATAATATGTTTGTTCTTTATTGCTGCACTAAACTGCACTTAAAATTTTTCATCTCGATCTCTCTTGTTAAACTTAAATATACATATATCTACTTTATTTTAAGAGTTATAATAAAGAGGAATTAATTTATTTATAAAATAAAAAAATTTATTTAAAAACTTTATTTATAGAGATAATTTAAAACTACTTAAAACGAGATAAATACATATATATATATTCGAATGTTGGCGAAAGAGAAACCGAAGATTCTTTTTCTGAATACAAAAAGTGCAAGCAATATGAAGATTTCGTGCACTCTTGAGGATAGATTTGTTCTTTTTAGGTAAAGTTCTTGCACTGTTCATCATTTTTCCTTTTCTTTTCACGTTAGAGAGAAAAATAGAAAAGAGATAAACGGTGCAAGAAGTTCAGTTGAAAAGAACAGACTAAATATTTCAAAAGATAAGAACTTGCGGCGGCGGGGGGGGGAGGGGGAGCATAGATGTCACTATCGTCACTAGCAAAATCTTCATACGCATGTGCGTTCCGACGTATGTAACTGCTGATTCAACTCAAAATTGGAATTTGCAAGTTTATACAAAAATTCACTTAAAAATATAATTAAAAATATTTACGTTGTCTTGATATAATTTTTTAATATGTGCAACATAATTAATAGTAAATCACAATAGTGTATATTGTGATAAAGTTCAATTGCCAAAGTGATCGTTAGTACTTTGAAATTGTATTGTGTGTATTACGAAAGTGGTTAGAAAAACAATAATCAAATGATTTGAATGACATAGATCTTCATTTTTTTTATAAAGTTTGCACGTTTAAAAGACAATAAAGAATTTATTATTGTTATATTGTTGTTATAAACAAAGCTATATAAGAAAGTGAACTATGGCTCATGTTACTGACGAAATTATGCGAATCTTGCATGAATGTCACCCCAAAGATGATTTTAAGGATAAGACAAAAAGTGAGACAAAAAAATCAAGAAGGAAAATCGAGAATGAAAAATTGGAGGGAATCAGAAGTAGTGTAGAGAGATTATTCACAGATGCACGATGTAACTATGTAGGAAGTGTTGAATATGCCAGTTTGAATAAAATGTTGGCCATTTGTAATCTAGAGGTAATCGAATATAATATAAATTACATAATAAAGTAATAGAAATTCTACAACATATGTATGCTTGGTATATTGTAAAAAAAATGCATGTAATAATTTATTTTGATACTAAATTTTATATACATATATACTTTTTTAGATTGGCAATGAGATCACAGCCATTCATCATTTGGTCGAAGCTCATGCAGTAATACTTCGACAACACATCTTGCATAGATATCAAAAGACTCAAATGCGCGAATCTGTGAGGAATGAATCTCAAATATATGGACTAAGACCAACACATGTAAAGTTTGAGACAAAATTTACAGATAATAGTAAATCATTAAAAGCAAAACTGTTAGACTTACCGAAAGGTACATATATCTTTTGCCTTTTATAACAATTCTCTTTTTATATAAATTAAAATTTTTCTAATTTCCTTCACAGAATGGTACATAATTCAAGTTACTGTCCCGTATGAATCTCCAACTATATCAAGATACGAAAAGCGTACATCTAACGAAATGCATGCTATACATATTACAATACTTCCTACGAGTACATCTGACATAGATCCATTATGTATAACTGTGCCAAGACCTACGACGCAAGTCGTTTCTTACGATGTCTGCAAAGAGATTCGGCAACTACTGGATGGCTATATATCTGCCCTGAAAACTACTTACACGAATAATAAGCAGTACTGGACAATGCGTGTAAATCAAAACAACAAAATGAAGGTAGATTTTTTAAATCTGAGCAACATACAAGTTAGAAATTTAACAATAAAGGAAATTTTAAGCTAATTTATTACAGTCGGCTATAAGCGCATTAGAGAGTGTATGGTTGAGAGAATGGAGAGTGTTATTTATGGCCGATCTTATTGAAGACTTGGAAATGGTAGATGAGATTCATCAAATGATCGACAAATTAATATCGGATTTCAAATCTCCGTAAGTAATATTTATCGGAATTTTGTTGTTTTTTATGTATATTAAATTTCTTTATTTATCTAGCAATGAGATATCAAAAAGATGTAGGTGGCTTTTGAGAAAAGTAGCCACAGGTGCATGCTTTCTTACGCGTGAGGAAATAGCGCGTGCAATTAAATTTCTACTTCCCAAGCATGAAAAACTTGCAAACAATATTATTTTATCTATTTATGGAAAATTGCCATATATAAAGAATCTAGAGAATACAAAGCGAAAAACATTGGTTTTAATTATTGATGAGGTAAACGTGCAATGTATATAAGCTACATAATGTTATCATGCGCTCTTAAGAATACGAATTTATGTAAATTTATTTCGTATATAAATCTTTTTTGTTTTTTTAAGCACATAGATTATATAGCGTTTGAAGCCATGGAAATTGTTAAAAATCATCCTATTACCCGGTTTCCATCTTTGCATGTAGCATATGCATTATTCAAAGAACACGAAGATACTATTTTGGACGGTTGTAAACTAATTAAAGCAAAGGAAGATATGGGAATTTGCGTAGTCAATCCTTCCGGTGATCTCGATAAAATGGAAAAACGTATGAAGCTTTTTATGGACTTTTGGTTACCAAAGTGGAAAAGTTGTTATAACACGCGACCTAGCGAAGAAATGTTCGAAGATGCGTTAATAAATCATGATGTTTTAATGTACAAAAATTTTATCTTATTTCTCTATTAATAGTCATTAATCTACTTATAATTCGATTACTTGCACTTTATTTTTCTCTTTTATTTTTATAGGTATACTGGCCATTCTAATGGCATAGAATATTTATCTGGAGAAGATATCGAAAGAATGAGAGTGAAATCTACTGTTTTATTGTTTGGATGTAGCAGCGTAAAATTATTTATGATAGGTGGAAGATATCCACCTTATGGCGTTTCAAATCAATATTTAATAGCATGCAGGTAAAAAAAATATTTTTTATGTTTGTGCCATACTTATATATAAAAATTTCTTTCCATTTAAATTTATAAAAGAAATCGAAAACATTTCTTTTCTCTCATATTTTCAATTCCCATTTATACGTACATAAATAAATAAATAGTATGTCAATTTACAATTTTTAGTCCTTGCCTGTTGGGTATGCTTTGGGAAGTAACAGATGCGGATATTGATAAAATGACTACAAATTTCATGAGTAATTGGATTCCTTCGTCCTCAGAGAAATCATGGACTGAGGTAGACAAGGATAAATGGATTTCTGGTACCCTAAGTTAGTATTAGAAGTTGAAAAAACTTTTTATATTTGCTTCTTTAATATTATATGCATGATAATTCTTTATAACTAAATTTTTCAGAATTTACAAAGAACGGAGCAAAGGATAAACCAGAGATGGAACCAGAAATGTTAAGAGCAGTAGCAAAAGCTAAGAACAGTTGCTTGCATTATATGACGGCAGCTGCGATAATAATACGAGGTTTACCAGTAAAAATAGTTTAATTCCTTATTGAGATGTCATCATTTGTATTTTTGCACTGATGTGTAATAATTCAAGTTTCTAAGTCGTGTATAAAGCAGTTGCTTGTTGGAAGACAAGATAATCGTTTGTGGAGTAAAATTATAATGTATATATATATATTTTTTTTTAATTTTAATGCGAAGATATTTTAGGGACATATTTGATATAAAAATAATAAAAGTGAATAAAAAATTGTTTTGGTCAATTATTGCCTTCACTGATTCAAGCTCAGGTTATGGTCTTTGGTCACATAATAATCTGCGGTTCTGGTACAGAAGTGGAAATACTCTTGTGTGGTAAAACTTGTCCACCATTAATATATAATTCATCTTTTACGATAACGTCTTCTCCTAATACAGTTGTACCTTCCATTCTCACCCAACGTCCTACAACGCTTCTCCATCCAACAATACAACTGTTTACATATTTTTAATTATTATGATATAAATATTATGAAGCTTTATATATTTAAGATATACAAAATTAATACTTGCCCATCTAGCCATGCATGCTCTTTTATTACAGCTGCCTTAAGAATAGTACTTCGTTTAATACAACATCCATCAGCTAAAGTAGCACCCGGTCCAATCGTGACGTTGGGCCCTATTCTACAATCCTTGCCAATTATAGCCGTTGGATCAATTAAGACATTGCCTACTATACCAGGCCCAGAATGAAGCTGTTCAGGATGCTTTTGCCTCAATGAAGTAAGATACATAGACATTCCTGGATAATATTATGGATACTAAGTATAAATGAACAATGAACTCATATATGTATATATACATATATACATATATATGATATTGAGAAAATCATATGATATATAAGTATTTGCCTGTAAGAAAATCTTTAGGTTGTCCCACGTCCATCCAGAAGCCTGGCAATTCCAGAGCGTATAATTCTCCATCTTGAGCCATATTTGGAAAAACTTCCTTTTCGATACTTGTAGGTTTTAATTCTATTCTATTCAATACGCTTGGATTGAGGATGTACATACCTACATTTTGCAAAAAAAAGGCATAACATACAGGTGAAACATACATGTATGTTTTTCTAAACAACTCTGAAAAAACTTTCTATTACTATACCTGCATTAATTTTATTGGATATAAATTCTTGTGGTTTTTCAACAAAACTCTGAATTTTTCCATCTTCTTCATATACAACCACACCATACTTTGATGGCTCTTCTACTTTAGTGACAACTATAGTTCCTTCTTTACCATGATTCTCATGGAATTCGAGGAGTTGTTTAAAAGGAAATTCACAAATGATATCAGAATTCAAAACAAAGAATGGATCATCACTGGCACATAAATATTCACGCGCGAGTGCAAGTGGTCCAGCGGTACCCAATGGTTCCGGTTCATGAGAAAATATAAGTCGTACTCCAAGTTTCTTCGCCTCGTGAACCAATTCTTCTTCCATCTGTTGTGCCCGATAGGAAACGGCCAATATAACTTCAGTTACATTTGTTTGTACCTAAAAAAGGTTTAAAAAGAATACTTAGAAAGATAATGAAAATTATACTAGTATGAAACTTTGATAAATCAATATTACAAATATTTAAATATATACCAGTGCTTCGATCTGATGTAAAAGTATAGGTTTATTTGCAAACTCGACAAGTGGCTTAGGTCGACTTAAAGTAAGAGGTCGCAATCTGGTTCCATAACCACCCACAAGTATTAAAGCTCTCATGGTCTGTAACTTCTTTCTTTTTTCATGCATTCCTATAAATTCTGCAAAAATAATAAACAAAGATTTTTTTTTTAATTATAAATCATATCAAGATGCATCACCTGTTCTTTTTATTTACTTTGCAATACAAATTATAAATCAATATATAGTTTAAGTACTAATTTTTAATTGTTAAATCATATTTTATGATAGAAGAGAAGTTAATGACCCACTCTAATTTGCAAAATATAGAATTATATTTTACTTTATACTCTTGCACATTCTACTTGACATTATAAGTAAATAAATTTGTTTACTTATTACTCTATCCCAACATACATTACATGTCTTGTGTAATAATAATAAATATTATTATATTATATTGTTTATTACTCTTTGCTGAAACACGCAATGTTACTTACATTAACCGCCGTCTTATAATGACATTAGAAGATAATTCGATATCTCAGTGACAATTATTGCCACGTAGATGGGCTTGATAGAGACAAGTGCTACGTGTTCACTGATATGCTCATGTTTATATTTACGATGAGAACATCTTTTTTTCGCAAGATTATATCACATTATTAATGCGGATGAATGAACCTATCATAAACATAAATCTGTCGAATAGACTTTTTATTGAGCAATGATAACAATGATGTTCATTCACTTTTTGTTTTATGAATCGCTGTCAAACTCTGTTTCTGTCGCGACACTGAAAAGATACTTAAAAGATTGTTAATCCTGGACAAATTTTTGTGATCACCTCGACAGCTCGGAGGTAATTGAAGAATGCTGACATTATCAACTGTTTTGACTATTCCAAGAATAAATAATGTGAGGATTTTATCTTCCTTAATCATTGTTTTATCAGGAAATTATAAAATATGTATATATAATTTTTTATGATAAAGTAGTGATTAGAAAATTAGATAAAATTCTTATTAATTTATTTTTCGAACAGCCAGAACAGTTGATAATGTCAGCGTTCTTCAATTACCTCCGAATCTTCGGAGTAGTCACGCTACTCCAGTAAGAATGGCCGCATTCAGTATAATCTTACATGTATGATAACAATCTTGCATATAAGTGCTTCATGTTATTAGGCGGGTATTGGATGACAAACAAAACAATGACAAGGAGATGCTGTGTCACAGTACTGTATACTTAAATTATAACATTGTTTATAACAATAACTCAGAGACTTTTCTTTGGAAGAATCTTTTCACATGACATTAGACATTTATAATATACTTTATTTATGATATTCTAAATTGTCTGCTTGAAAGTACATTGTGCTAAATAATCCTGGTGACTGAAAGTATCATATAAGTATACTGAAAAAGTTTATCAAAATGATGCTTGATCCCTGCAGGTAAATTCGAAAGTTTTGTTAAACAAAATACATAATTTGTATATGTATATAAAAGGCTTTATTGCACAAAAGCAAAACTGTTCATTTATTTAGATAAATAAAATACAGAGAGTTGCATAAGGTATTACACGATCATTTCCAGCTCTCGGGCATAGTCTATCGCAAGAGCTGCCAGTTCAGAACTCGGGATAGGCTCCTCAGATTTTTTCTCGCTAGTCGTGGTAAAATAAAAATAGCCATCTTTGGAAAGATTCCAGTTCTTCTTGATGGCGAATGCCTTTATATCCTTCTCCGTGCTTAAATTGAGCATCCTTGCGGCATCTTGAATGGAGATCTTATCGTATGCACTTTCCATGCACGCGCCGATCTCATCACGAACAGTATTTAATAAAATGTCTATGAAGAAATTATAGGATGCGGCGGGCACATTACCTTTGGCCAAGAAAATCTTATTGTACGAACCCTCCATCAAATATTGCTCTAAACTCAAGGGATGCCTTATATAAACGTTTGATTGTATCTGATCAGATGGTAGGAGTTCCAGCTCTGTGTGAAATTCAGCAACTCGATTTTGAGATAACAAAAATAAGAGATTGAGACCAAGAAGCTGATATTTGTATGCTGATTCCATCAATCCAGATTTATAATCGAAATAGTAACATTTTAGTTGTGCCATATATCTTTCAAAGGAAGGTATATCTTCAGTGGCAATGCTCCATTGTGCTCCAATTTCCAATATGTCTCCTGTGATTTAAACATAAAATTTTTGTTATAATTTTATGATATTTAATCTATCAAGACTATGACTGTTGAGCTTAAAATTAGCAATACATACTAGCGATTAATAATTCATTTTGACTGGCCGTGCTATTTGACGTCGGGAGAAACATCAGATGAGTGAGACCGATCTGTGTAAAATAATTTATTATTGAATTATTTATTATTATATAATTATTATAAAAATGTTATTATTATCAAATCATATCTAAATACATATCTAAAAACTGAAGAATCAAAAGGAATGACCATTAAAATTTGAAAACAAAGTTTATGGCAAATGATGACAATCCATTTCCATAATCCACAAACGTAATGAGGTTATGATGATACTTTTTATCAGTAATTATCCTATTTGAAAACGTGAATAAAGTATGTAAATTACCTTCAATTGATTGAGTAATTCTCCACATTTCTTCAAATTACATGGCGTTTTTGTCCATTCGCGTTTTAAATTCTGATACAAGGCAACAACATCCTCGAGGGCTGCCATTTTTAATATCTCGTCTCGCCTTACTATAAAACAGAGATATTTTAGATGCGATTCGAGACTCGAAATTCTCGATTTGAGTCGATTCATCGATTGTTTTGCGTAACGCGCGCAACCAATCAAAGTTCCTCTCTTTTGTGAAATAGAAAGAAAGAAATCATGGACGGTTTAGGATACGTTTACATCTTAACGGAAAAGCGTCAAGCCATTGTTTGGCCATTGCTTTTCCGTTTTCTGCTTTTCCGTCAAGATGTGAACCCGGCCTTACAGAGATCGTTTGTCCCAGTTTGCCCGCCAATCCCGCCATGTGTGATTTGATCACATTTGAGTTTGTTTACTGATGGTGGTAATGTGTAAAGTAAAGTTTTGTAATTTTATAAATTTTCAATTGATTCTTCAATAATAATCTTTAACAGCGATTTTGCAATATTAATCTTCATTACGCCTCGTTTAGTACTCGTGTTAAAAACATGGCAGTGCAACCTAACCAACAGCTTAACATGGGTATATATAAGATTTTATTTAATCATAATGTAATTTTTGTTTCAATGTAATAATTTATTTTTTAGATCCTCCTACGCAGCAGAGCTTTGTCAGATTTTTTAAAAATCTTCCAGAAGTGAGTATTTAAATTATTGTTTACACTACATATGAATAAACAATCTTTAAAATCCTTTCTTTTTCATAATTATATATTCTTTTTCATCATTATATATTAATTATTCTTCTAATTCTAACAATTGCATATTCTTGTATTTTATTAATTAATAATTTAATTTAGAAAAAATTGTATAATTGATTTTATATTTTCTTTTATATTGTTCACACACACACACATACACACACACACCCACCCACACACACACACACACACACACACACACACACACAAATTATATCATAATACATTTGAAGGAAAAAATTAAAGCTATTATAATAATTAAAGTAAAATTATTTGTATCATAATATTGTTAATATGATAGGTGAGTCAAAAAGTAACTTTAATTTAAAGTTATTTATAAGGTCTATTGTTTTTAACTGAACTTTTTGTACAATTCTTATTTTTTTCTTTTTTTTCTCCAATGTTCCAAAAGAAAAAGAAGAAAGATGAACTGTATAGAAAGTTCAGCTAAACAGGAGAAGTCTATTAATTTATTCATATATCTATAATTCATGTAACATCTAAAACAATATTGTAATAAGTGTTTTTTTTAATTTTTTGTAAAAATTTTTGCAATTTTTTTCTTATATGTATATAAATATTCTTTCTTATAATATTTATATCAAAGGAATGAATTATTTGACACACACACACACAC